GTTACCTGAAAAAATTAAAAATGGAACTGGTTTATAATCCAGCAATTCCACTTTTGGGAAATTTATGAAAATTAAAACATGAAATGCTAATTCAAAAGTACATAAGCATCCCAAGTTCATTGCAGTGTTATTTAACAATTGCTAAGATATGGAAGCAGCCCAAATGTCTATCAGTAGATGAGTGGATAAAACAACTATGGGACATTTACACATGGGATACTACTTGGCTGTAAATATGGGGTAAATAATATAGGGTAAATTTTTACCCTTTGTGACAGCATGGATGGACCTGGAGAACATTATGCTAAGTGAAATAAGCCAGTCAGAGAAAGACAAATACTATATGACTTCACTCATATGTGGATACTAATGAACAAACTGAACTAAAAAGCAAAACAGAGACAGACTCATAGATGGAGAGCAGGTGACAGCTAGTGGTGGGGGAGGTTAGGGAGTGGAGAGATTGAACAAAAAAGGAAAAGGACTCGTGGAATGGACGGCAGGGTGGTGATTGTTGGGGGCGGGGGGTATACGGAGACTAAATGACAATGGAAATGATACAATTCAAAATAAATTTATAAAAAAGTCAGTACTAAGATTTCTGGAGGTGAATGAATGGTGTTGATGATTGTACAACAATGAGAATGAACTGAGTATCACTGAACCAACTGTACATTTATAAATGGTTATGGAGGTAACTTTCATGTTGTGTATTTTCCTATATTTTTTAAAGACTAACTATTGTACAATGTACTATGTACAATGTGCAATATGACATTATATACTGTATTGCTATATTCCAAAGATATATTGATGCGACCATTTTGATAATCCTTGTCATTAAGGAAGTGCCTGCTCTTTCGGTAAAAAAACAGGCATCTAACACCCTCACTCATTTCTTCCTCTCTCATCTCCTTTCTCATCCCTTCTTCCTTTTTCCTCCTTTCATTCCTCCCCATCCTAAACAAATGGTTAGACAGACTTCCCCCTTCCCAGCACATACACACAGACGCATGTACACGCCCCGCAGGAAATGAGCAAGTGAACTGGTACAGCTTGTAAGAAATGAAAATAACTTGAGTAACACACACCATGCTTGCCTGAAACCCTGGCTGCCTCTCCTGAAACTCTCCAGCCTCACTTTTTTTGGCAAGTTTGAGACTGGAACGTGGTGATCGTATCCTCTGACCACAAGGTGGGGCTTGTATTGGAACACGCTGGGCGTCGCAGGGATTCCTCCTGTTAGCCTTTCCCACTCAGAAATCTTCCTACAGTGCCACCTAGATACGATTAAGGACAGCCCTTCCCAAGCTGCAAGGTTTCAAAAGCACCAACGATGGAGTTTGTGTATGACTTAAAACACGCATCTGAAACACCAGAGAAAAGATAAAATGTCTTATTTTTTTCAAAATTTTTTTTCTCTCCATGGTATATTTATGAAGGTAGATAGTGGTTTCCTGTGCTATAGGGTTCCTCCACGAAGCCCTGCAAAGATCAAGGTGAGCCTGAGCCACTCCGCCTTTCTTTCTTTCTTTTTTTTTTTTAGAATATAAGTATACTGAAGAAGGGAGGAGAAAAGAAAGAAGAAAAAAGGAGAGGGAGAAGGAGAAGAAATGTCAAAATAAAATTATAAGACTTTTAAAAATAAGTTCACTGCCTATATTTAATAAATTATACTTTTAAGATTGTACAAATGTACTGCAATGTACTGCAATATTTTCATGTTGTTAAGAACAGTTCACACTATATGTAAGCCAAACCACTATGCTGTATACCTGAGTCTTATGCAGTGATTTATGTCAATTTTTTCCATGGCTGGAAAAAATGTTTTGTAGAGTAGAATATAAAAATATACATGAGGTCTGTCCATAAGGATTCCAGCCATGTAATATGAAAAAGAGACACTTCTTGAAGAAGATGCAAGAAACATTGTACATAGGACAATGATGCCTCTGTCCCCTTCGAAGCAGGCACCTGAGGACCCCACACAGTTTTCCCAATTGCCGTCAGCTGCCCTGTCATACTTTCCTGAATCTCATCAACGGTCTGAAATCTCTTCCCTTTCAAAGGTGATTTTAGTTCTGGGAAAAGCCAGAAGTTGCAGCACATCAATTCTGGGATGTAGGGGGGCTGAATCACCTGGGTGATTTGATATTTTGCCAAAACATTCTACATGTCATGTGATGCATGAGCAGATGCATTGTTGTGATGAAGCTGCCCATAGCTGCCGCCTTCCTAATCATCTGAGTAGTTTCCATGGAGGAATGTTCAAGCATAATGCAACATTTGATGCAGATTTATTGCTCTACTTGCTCAGTCATCTTAAATGTGACAGTCACATAGTACATATGTTCACTCAGTGGTGTCTAGTGCCCCCTTGACTAGTAGAGAGAAATGGTCACTGTTCATACTACGCATTTCAGTCCACACTCCTTGGCTGCCAGGTTATATCACTGTCGTGTAAGCCATTCTTGTTATATTAACAATGGCTGGAATCTTCTGGACAGCCTCCGTATATAAACACTTCATAGTGCATTCAGGCTCTGTGTCCAAGATAGGATAAAAAGTTCCAAGCTGAATATTTAATGCTTTTTGTTTTTAATCCTACCTATATATCTCTGTGACTGAGAGTGTGACCTTATTTAGCGATAACATCAAAGACCAGCTTTAAGAGTTTTTGTGAGTATAATGTAGAGCATGCTGACTATAGTTAATCATACTGTATTTGAATACTAGAAATTTGCTAGGAGGTTTTAGGTTCTCTCATCCAAAAAGTAATAGTAACTATGGGAATAGATGATAAGTTAAATGATGTAATTGTAGTAACTATTTCATTTACAGGCACATGTGTATGAAATTATCATGTTGTATACCTTAAACATACACAATTTTTATTTTTAAAAAGGATCTAGTACAGTGACTAGAACACAATAAATGTTAATCTACTACATACCCCTCATCCTCTAGTCTCATTTCCTGCTTCTGCCTTCTTGCACCACCAGCAACAGCCACCACTTCAAGCAAATATGGGATATAATTGAGAAGCTCTACTGAGGACTTACTTAGAAGTGTTTATTTAAGCCAGAATTGTCTCATACCCAAATAATTCTGTAATGTTAGTTTAGACACTTTCTTAAGTGTTGAAGTTGATGGAGACTCTGTCTTTCTCATAGTTTGCACTTCAAGCCTTCATCATCAATGAACTTTCCTTTTCTCACATCTCATACCCAGTCCCTTGGAGTATTGCGCTGTTTTTGGAATATCCAGAAGCTGACCAATAGTTATTATCTCTGCTGTTACCACCCTGGCCTGCCGTAAACAATTATCATCTTTCTCCTGGATTTCCTCAATAACTTCTAACTGTTCATCCTGATTTACCTTTGCCCCCACAACCCAGCTCTTTTTTCCCCCTAACAGCCAGAGTGTCAGATCAGATCACTAATTTGTTTCAGATCTCCCAGTGGCTCTCCACTCAGAGCGTAAGCTGACCCACAAGGCCTATCTGATCTGGCCCATTACTCTCTTTCCTTCCTTTCTATTTATTCTTCTCACCCCACTTCCACTGTTCCTCAAATACATAATCTGGTTCCCAACTCAAACTGTTACTTCTAGCTGTCCCTTTGCTTGAAATATTCACCTATACAGCTACTTAACCAATTTCTATATCCCTTGATTATTAGTCAAATATTGACCTTTCAAGGAGGTTTCCCCTGACTTCCTAATCCTATAACCTGCTCATCCTCAAGCTCCCCTGACACCCTGACCCCCCTGCCCTGCTCTACTTTTTAAAAAATATTACATTTATCTACCTAAAACACTCATACATGTAGCTATTTTTATTCATGTTACTCACTGATAGTTTCCAAGCAACTAGAAAAGTGCTTTAGATACTGCAGGTGCTCTGTAACTACCTGTTGAATAGATGGATAATATATTTTCAAGCGATATGCATTAAATTTGCTGTTTTTCTTTGGAGCAAGTCGGGGGGTGGGCTTTCTTTCTTTCAAAAATTGTTTCCAATTCCAACAGCATCACTTGTTTCACAATAAAGGATTAACATTTGCCACTTTTCTAAGAGTTGTGATGAAACCATTAAAAGGAAACTAGCACAGTCAGCATTTCCTCTCACTCTTGGGGGTTGGGGGACAGGAGTGTGATGGTGACTCGCACCCTTCCCTTGACCTCCTATTCTAGGCTCTTTCTTCATTAGGCCTTTATTTTAAAATTAAGGCCCTTCTCTCTCAGTTGGTGAGGATCTTGCGAATGAGACTTCGTAGTTTGCTACATTTAAGGGCAAGTGCAGATTCTCTTGCAGTTTAGCTGAATCTTGAGGGTCCTCTCCTAGCACAAGTGGCCAAATTGCCCAGAGGAAGTTCTCTATCGATTCCACATATGCTTTGAGTCTTAGAATAATACACCAGGCAAAAAAAGACTGGAGAAACGAATTCCCTCGTTTTACAAATGAAAAACCTGAGGCCTTGTCAGGAGGAGGGACTAATCCTTCTACTGGATTATGTTGTCCCTCTCCTCTCACTGAATCAGGTTCCTCTTCTCCAGACTTCTCAATCCTCTCAGGGAGGGGAGGGTGGGAGAAAGCAGGGAAAGGTACTCAAAACCAAGCCTGTGAGACTTACAGGCATGTGAGAAAAACTTCCTGAGGAGGCATGGAGACTCTGGACCCTGTTTAGGTGTAAATGCTAACTCTCTGTCCTACTTTTAACCTGAGTCTGTTTCCTCAACTATCAAATGAGAATAAAGAATCCAAATATGTAGGATCATTGTGAATACTACAAAAATAAAACATATGATGTACTTAGTAATAAAATCTTGTTAGTACAGTTATTCTTGAGTGAGGCCATTCGGCACTTGTTGTTAAAGGTTAACTCAGTCAGTCAAGCTCAGAAAGTAAATATGCCATTTTCATCCTTCCCATTAACCTTGGCTCTCCAATACCCGCTTCAGTTCTCTCTGGGTTCCTTTGGTGTGTGCTTTCAAGGTCTTGCTTTTCTGGCTGGGTGTGTTATTTCTTATTGATTTCTCCGTCTTTTTTTTTTTTTTTTTTTAATTATTTAAGACCTTTATTAACAGGTGCTTGCAGTTTGTTGACTTCTTTGAAAAAATCAAGTTGTAAACTTTTATTACAAATTAAAAATGAGGTTCTTAAAAATCTCAACTTGACCAGATATGAAACAATTTAAAAACCTTTAAAGGTGTATTGAGAAAAACCAGGCTTATTTTTTTTTTAAAAACACGTTTGTCACTACCAAAAAGAGACGTCTTTAGATAAAAATAATAAAAACCCCATGCTGCATAGATAATGCAGATAGTTCTAGTCATCTGATCAACGGGCAAAAAGCAAGCACTTAAGGTCTTCAGCTCCAATCTTTCGTTCATTTCTTATTGCTGGAATTTCATATTCATTTCTTCTTGTTGGATGACTAAACCGGATGATGGTAGAGGTGGTAAGCCAGCATTTACGCAGCCCCGCCCTGCTCAGCCTCGGGAGCGGACGAATTCTCAGCTGGTGGATCGGCTGCTTTTGTCTCTTTGCCATCTTGTGGTTTAGGGTTTTCTGGGCGTCTGCGTCGGTAATTGAAGTTGCGGCGGTACCGACGTTGAGGTGGCTGCTGACCTTGGGTCTCATCTCCTTGGTTTTCCTTATCTTCTTCATTGCCGTCCTCTCTAGGCTGTCTTGGGCGAGGAGGGCCCCTGCGAAATCGTGGCCTGTAGCCCCGATACATATTCTGTCTCACTGGTCTCCCTTGTTCTCCCGCACCCTGGTGGTCGGCACCCTCCAGCACGCGTCCCTGCACAGCAGGGCTGGAATATTGTGGTCGACGCCCGTAGGGTCTCCGCAGGTAGTAAGGGGGGAACCGTGGCCTGCGGTAGGGCCGGCGCCCTTGGGCCCGGCCTTCAGGCGCACTCTCCGATCCCTCATTCTTTTCCCCACTCTCACTGTCCTGGTCATTCTGCTGGTCAGTGCGTGGAGGGCCCCTGGGACGTGGACAGCGTCTATAGTGGTGACGGTCCGCTGCATAGTGACTGCCTGGCACTGGAACTCCACCAGGGCCTGTGACATTGGCTGCCTCCGCACCCTTTTCTCCTTCAACAACATCAAACTCCACCGTCTCCCCATCTCCTACACGGCGAAGGTGCTCCCTGGGGTCATTCTTCTTTATGGCAGTCTGGTGGACAAATACATCTTCCTCGGTCTCATTCCTGTTGATGAAACCATATCCGTTTCTTACATTGAACCATTTTACTGTTCCCAAAACCTTCGTTGCGATGACCTTCTTGTCCCCGCTGGCAGGCGCCGCCGATATGAGTGCCGTGGTGCGGGGCTTGGTGTCGCCAGCGCTGAGGGTGGGAGCGGCCCGGGAGGGGGGGGCGGGGGGCGGCAGGCGGCTGCCGGGCCTCGGCCTCGCCGCTCACGGTTGCGGTGATGGTGGCCGGGGCCGGCTGCGGCAGCTGCGGCTCCTCCCGGGGTGTGATGGTAACTAGGCCGGCGGCGGCGGGGCTGCTCAGGGCTCTCCGGGGTCCGCTCTCCGCTCCCGCTACCGATCGAACTCTGATTTCTCCCCTCTTTGTCCATTTTGTTTTATCTCCCCCCTAGGAAGGAGATGGTCCCATAGTGCTTTCCAAGTTCACCCCTTCAGTTGGAGAAACGGAAGTTCGTGAAAAGCTTATCCAACAAGTTTGGAGTAGACAGTTTTTCTTTGTTGCAAAACTACTCAAATCTGCAAGTGGTGATTTCCTCCTTCCTGGTTTAGGGACCACAAGAAGGGATTTAATCTTGATGAGTAACCTGATATAGTCAAGAAAGCACTCGAGATATGGAAAGTAATAAATTACACTGGGTGGGAAAATAAAGTACCCAGACATAAAAGGGACTCAAATCTGGAAATCAGATAATATAGGGCACTAGATTAAGTACAAATAAATTAAGAAGTTTTATAGCCTTATTTTGCATAAATACAGGAAATTCTGAGAGACTGGCCCCTATCTCTAAACTCATCCACAATCTGAATAATTTTCTAATTTTTTTATGTGAAAACATCACATATATTTTTATTTAATTATACATCTATTTGGTGACTTGAAGGGAATTATGAAAAGGCTAAAATTTCACCCTCCACCTCAGCTACTATGTGTCACTGGTACTGCCTTTTAGCAGACTAGCTAAACAAGTTGCCTCAGTTGAAAGTAGTATTCAATTTTCATCTTTTTGGATGGTTTTGGGTTTTCTCTTGCATATGACAAGAAAACTAAAGGTCAGTCATATCTTGACTTCACTTAATATGTTCTCTTGGAGGTTCTCTTCCTCCTCTTCATTCTTTTCCTTATTTGCCTCTACCTTCTCTTTCGAGGACTTGGAGAATTTTTTTTCTGGAGTCTCTGTCCTGGACAAATTTAGGAGCAGTAAGCAGTAGTCAGAAGACATCATTCCTCTTTCAGTTGATATAACTTAAACATAGAAAACTCAGGATTCACTTGTTATTTTCAATACCGCTAATTTACTTTTTATTGATCTCGCTCCTTAAGAGTTTTTAGTGGAGGTGAGTCAATTTCCTGGAACTTGATGTACAGCATTGTACATTTTGGCTTAGATGAATTTAGGGAGTAAGCAGAAGGCACATAACTTTCATTATATTTTCAAATGATTAAGTAGTTAAAATAGAAAAAAAAAGGTTAAGAACCACTGAGGTAATACCTAAAAGGAAAGCTAATCTGTTTTAGCCTTAGCACTTTTAAGGTTCATTAGACTAAATTTGTGGGATATCATTCAAGTTCACTCACTGGCTTCTGAAAATACCACAGTCCATGAAACATAGGCAATGGGAAGAAGGAAGCAGCTAAGCCCTTCTCCATCAGCGAACGCCAATTATTGGTAGTTCCAGCATACTGCTCTCCATCCCTTTCCTGGTCTGCGGTAGGGTACCCCTTACTCCAACCCCGAGGCATCCTAGAAGAGAGCACAGTACTGTTAATTCATGCAAGGAGGAAATCGCTGCTGGCTGAACTGGTTACTACTTTATCTACACACCACTAAATGAGAACATGAAGTAAAACTGTAGTTTCTGTACTAGACTCTTCTGGGTTCATGTAAATAAAGCACTTGTCCCTGAGGGAAAACAAAATTAGACAGTGATTAACATTTTCACTTCCTTTTGTTGATATTGCTCTTGTTGGGAAAGGTTCTGAGAACTGGGGAATTTGTATTTTCATTCAGGAAATGTTGATAGAGCACCTGTTTCGGCAGGCCCTGGGTTAGAACCTGGCACATAGCGTAAATAGGGCCGACCTGGTTTCTGACCCTGTGAAATTTCCAGTCATGTGGGTGAGATATAGATCAACAAACAATCACACAAGTGGGTTGAGTGTTCCTCTCTTTAACAGAATCCACCCACGTGGAGGAGTTTGTGTTCTGGCCAATTTGTGTCTTAAATGTGTCAACAATCCCTAAGGCCAAAGTGAAGAAAAAGGACTAGTTAAGGTGAAGCTCATATTTTGAAACAAAACCTTTAAAACAATCAAAGTTTTAAGAAGGAGAGTTATGAGAGACACACTATAGAAATTATAACATATAACATGGTTTTTCACTTAAGCTACTTTCTCCAAATTGCTGAAGTTCAACTCGGCTAAGCTTAGGTTTTACATTATTACATGTCTGTAAAAGCAAAAGATCAAAATGACAAAAGAATTTTTTTAAAAACAAGAAAAACAAATATCTTTATAAAATTACATAACTTTGAATCAGCATTTTTTAAACATTTTTTTCCTGTTATTTGACTCAATTGTTTTTATGGGTCTTGTTTATCTCAAGATATAATTAAATCCTTGTATAAGCCCCGTCATTTCTAATATAACAACTTCCCCTTCTGCCAAGTGATTAAGTTATTTCATTTCCTATTATCTTTACTTCACAGGAAAGAATATGTAATATGTGTAACAGTTACAAATAATACGGAATTTTCATTTGAAGGATATTTTTATTGTAAACATTGGAGTAAACAATCTCCAGATGGTTTTAGTGTAAGTCTAACAAAGAAAATGGGTGTATAAAACTTTACTTTATAAATTTAACAAAGAAAAGAAATGATTACAAATAAATATTTACATTTTTTTAATATTGAAGACAGGCTGATCTTAGATGTTCCAAGTCTATAATAAATGCCTGTTTCCACAACCTGCCTCTTCTTTTAATCCCATCCTTCAAACTGTGTCTCAAAATATCTATTGATTTGGGAGTTAGAATTGGAAATGATACTCAATTTTCTGAGTATCTCAATAGTACTTTTATTTATTTTTAACACACGATGTGAGTTGAATTATTAGGGACCAAAAAAAAAAAAAGCACTACAATCAATAAATAAAAAGCAGCTAGATGTATGCTTTAGGGAATATTTTATGTCAATATATATTCACTTTTTGGTTACTAAGTTTTTATTTTTTAATTTGCTTATTTATTTTTTAAAGAGGAGAAGGGAAGGAGAAAGAGAGGGAGAGAAACATCAATGTATGGTTGCCCCTTGCATGCCCCCTACTGAAGATCTGCCTCGTAACCCAGGCATGTGCTCTAGACTGACAATCAAACGAGTGACCCTTTGGTTCACAGGCCAGCACTCAGTCCACTGAGCCACACTAGCCAGGGCATGATGGTTAAGTTTTTTTTTTTTTTTTTTTTTTTTTAAATGGTACTCTCACTCCAGGCAAAGTTAAATGTGACTTTAAGTGACAGATTAGAAGAGAAGAAAAGTGACATTTATTGAGTACCTCCTATGGGCCAGGTCCCACTCTTGGCATTTCCCATGCAAGTCCTTATTTAACTATCACTGTGATCCTATGGAACTGGTGTTATTCCCATTTTACATTTAAGGAAACTGAGACTCAATGAGATTAAAAGAAATCCAATGGTTGTTTGTCTAATAAGTGGTGAAACGAGGCTTGGAGGCAGGTTTGTCTTTTTCCAATGCCTATACTTGATATTGGTCAAAAGCAATGTATTTAGCTCTTTGACTCTCCAACTTGTTAAGATTTTGGAAAGTGACTTTTTTAAAAGAGTGGAACACCTTTAGCAGTGTGTACCAACTTTGCTTAGTATTTTAACAAATTATTAACTCAAGATATTTGAATTTGGAGACAGAACTGAAATGTTCTTGAAGCACTAGAGCAGATTAAGTTATTTTAACAAAGTACAAATGAATGTGTAACAGTTACAAATAATATGGAATTTTCATTTTAAAGATACTTGTATTGTAAACATTGGAGTAAACAATCTCTAGATGAATTTAGTGTAAGTGTAACAAAGAAAATAGGTGTATAAAACTTTATTTTCAAATAAATCTTCAAAAAGAAAGAACATGTTTTAAATCTTCCAGCTAACTCAGAGTTGCATGGATTAAAATTTCAAGGGGAAAGTATTTTACTTTTATGATCTTAGCAGTAACAACATTGTAAGTCAAACTCATTGGTGTGTGTTCAGCATTTGTCTATGGTTCTCTGAACCTTAAGGATGTCTGAACTGAGACTAATATTCTCAAAAGGAAAAAAAATTCCAGGTATAAACTGAAACTTAACTACTGAGATTAAGAAATGTGGTTCAGATTTAAGCAGCAGCGGTTTTAACACCTACATAGTATCAGCTCGTTCAAGGTCTCTTGACTGATAAACTTGGGACAAGATTCAAACCCAGTTCATCTCACTTCAAAGCCCATGTTTCCCTACCACATTCTACTTTGTTACATGAATACAACTTTGTTTGCATTTACAAAAAAGCTCTAATTCCAAAACACCTATATGAAGGGGAATGGGGTACTTAGATGGTTTAACATACCAAAAAGATATTCAATTTTCCTGTGGAGAGTTTGATGGAAAAAGAAGAGTTATGTATAGATATGGAAAAAAATAAATGCCCATCTGTGGCTTGGCTTTTTCTTGAGCTCTTCCCATCCTGGGATGATAGCTTTGGTAGCATAACTATGGTAAAGATCTCTAGATGCTCCTCTGTTTGTTGAGTTCTCCCGTTGTTTCAGGAGCTGGTTGGAACTTAAATAAACAGCTTAACGGTTAATAGTCCCATTGAGTCTACATTTAGCTCTAGTGGGTAATAAAATATAATTTGTATTTATTTATGCTGTTTTGCTTTTCAGTTAAACTTTCCATTCCAGTCTGCTCTATTTCAAAGCAAGATTTCTTGAAACAAGATAATTAGCTCTTTTTTTTTCTACTTAATCCCATTTATTTCTTCTACTTACTATGCAAAGACTCAAAGAGTTACCTTTACAGTAGTGGTCACTTTGACTTTGTCTGCTGTTACCTCTGATAAAGAGAGTCCTAGGACATAATGCATCAAGGCCACATTGTGAGAGATTAACAACATTAACAAAGATCTTGGTTTCCTTATTAATGAATGATCCATTGTTTAAAAAAAAAGTGAGCACGTTTGCCCTGGTTGGTGTGGCTCAGTGGATTGAGTGCCAACCTGTTAACTGAAAGGTCACCAGTTCTATTCCTGGTCAGGGCACATGCATGAGTTGTGGGCCCGGTCCCCAGTTGGGGGCATATGAGAGGCAGATGATCAATGTTTCTCTCACACATTCATGTTTTTCTTTCTCTCATTCTTCTTCCCTTCTTCTCTCTCTCTTAAAAAAAAAAAGAAAAGTGAGCCCCTAGGTCAAATGGACCTCATTAGCTCAACAGTTTAATAGTCTGAGAGGAGGAAAAGAGGAGGTGAGGAGATGGAATTGGGACAGCCATGAGGCACCTATGTTAGTGGGACTCAGCAAAAATACAAAGGCAGCCCTGAGGGGTTGAGGAGTTAGTAAATCCTCAGAATTCTGAACATCTGAGTGGTGCCACAGTATAACTGAGTCCTGATGATGAGGGACCGAACCAACCACATCAGGTTCTGTTCATGGGAGAATATGTCCTTGCCGAACAAACAAACTACTGTTACTGAAGCAAAGAAACTCTCAATTTTCTTTAAGATCCAGGTCTTGCTTACATATCTGGCCCCAATTCTTTCCTCTCCTCACTCCAGACACTGTTTTTCATACGATGCTCAACAACTTCAGGAACCCCAACGAGTCATGTTCCCTTATCTCTCATTACCTTCTACTTGCTTTTACCTCCATGAGCAAGGAAGTCATCCCTTCTCCCTACCTCATTGATTTTACTTCTACTCATTACCAATATCAGGTTACAGTTTTGAAGTGGTTTCTTTTTCAGTTTATCAAAACTGCTCCAGAGGTTCTGTTTGTTTGTTCTCAGAGCAAATATGTAATCTCTACTATAAGATCCATTGCTGTATTGTAGTTGCTTGTATAACTAATTGCCCATATCCAGCACCTGACTGCAAACTCTTTGAAGTTAGAGACTATATCTCATTTACACAGTACTTGACATTAGCATATAATCAATATATATTAGGTGAATAAATGAACAATCAAGTTCCTGAAATAATAGAGTTAGAAACAGTAGGAATTGCATTATATATAATGGACATTTGGTTTGCCGCAGAAGGTAATGAACCTCACATACTGTTTTGCCCCTGAATCTGTGGTTGCTTGGGGGAAGAATAAGAAAAAAACATGGCTGCTCACAACCAAATAACCTCTTTGGAAAGTACTCAGACATGCCATTTCCATTGCATGGACAAGCCCATTACTCTACTGAGCTTCCTGGGAAAGAATAAAGATGATGAGTCAAGCTAAATTCTTCATCAGTTGTGTATTTTCCCAGAAGTATACAGACTTCTGTGGATGTAAGCTTCTTTTCGTAGTGCTCCTTATCTAAGGAAACCCAGACCAATCTTTGAAGACTCAAAAGGATAGATTAAGAAACCATTAAATCATAAAAAGATGTTTTTTTGTCCCACTGTCTTGAAGAAAATTTCTTTCAACTACTCCGTGTGAATGTGCTTTTAGATAGGGCTAAAACTAGTAAGTTTCTAAACCATAACTCTATCACTACTTAGATACATGAACTTGAAGATGCCACTGAGATTCCTCCTTTGTAAAATGAGGACCTGATTACCTATCTAATTGCTGTGAGAATTAACTACACACATGCACACACACCTAGTGTCCCTAATGTCAATTAAGTTAAAGTGATATTTAAGAAGCTTGTTGGGGACACTGCACAAATTGTCCAGAAAAGGAAGTTTTCCTCCCAAACTACAAATGTTCACATTCTAAAACTTCATTACTCTTGATCTAATTTTCAATCTTTTTTTGGTAAAGAGTTTAATTTAAATCCTACATCAGCATTTAAACTAGCTTTTTCCTTAAGAGGTCTAAATTTCTACAGATTTTAAGACTCTCCATGCTACAGACTTTCAACTTGAAAGGGCAACTTTATTTCTAATACAATCAGATTTTCATCTGGAATTTTAATTATAGCAAACCATAACTTGAACTGATGTCATTTCTATTTTATTATATTGTCATGTTATATGCTGTAATCTAGCTGAACTTGGTATTTCAGGAACCAATCTTTTTTTTTTTTTAAGAATGCCTCTAAGGCAAAGAGGATTTTTAGTAAATAATTACTATTTGAATGTCTGCCATTTGGAAGCCAATCATGTGACAAAAATGAGAAATATGAACTGTAGTTCTTGGAGTAGATGATAATTCACCAATTTAAAAGTTAAACCAGGAAGTTTACATATGTTAACTTTATCAGGTAAATGGGTATTATTAAACCCAGATATTTTTACACAGATATGAACAGGAACACAGTAAGTTTAAAAGCCACCCAAAAATTTCGTGGCTGAACCAGAGTTTGAACCTACATGTTCTTTCCATGAAAGCATATGTTACTGACCTTTCCATTAAGGTTACTTCATCCCACCCCAACTAAGTGGTCCTATTGAACCACTTCCTGGAACATTAGCAAATCTTCATTTTACCACTTGACTGTCCTATCTAAAATGTGTTGTTTCCCTTTATCTTTCTTTTGTAAAGTCCTCCCATGCTTCATACCCTACTCAAATCAAACTGCTTATGCAGGACTCTGCCCTTACGTCCCTCGTGGAATTAACATCTCAGTACCATAGTGGGTTCTTAAGTTGCTTTCTTCTCCTGATAGACCAAACTTGTTACTTGATGAATATTTGTGGAACAGAATGAAACCTTTCATTTGTGGAACAGAATGAAACATACATTAGAAGAACAAATCTTTTGAAAACTTGTACAATGCTCCTTGACTACAGTAATAGTTTCTTGAAACTTTCTAAAATGCTTAGAAAATAACTTCTCATAAAATGTGCCTCCTACTAAAGGGTCAACTAGATTGTTTCCTCTCTCATTACTACAGCACATATAATTTTCCTAAATAAACAGTTGTACCATAAAAGAATAATCATAAATGACCTTACTGTAGCAGCTGCCAGATGGTACTATGATAAAGTTATCTGTAAATAGAAAGGAAAACAACTGATAATGTATCAAACTGAGAAACTCTGCTGTTTAAAAATATTTTAAAACATGTTTTATAACAGACATCTTTTTAAGTAAATTAAGTTATTACATTATTTTAGAGATCTAATAAAACTTCAATTACACCGAAAAGGTGATAAGAAGACAATTAGAGAAGTCTGATGACTCAGGTTTGCTCACAAAGAGTGGCAGGAAGTTTGCAGATTGTGGAATTTCCTCTGACCTAATGCAAGAATAAGGGTGCACATGATCTCCACCACGGAGATAATATAAAAAGCCATGGGAGCTCTTCATCCAGCACAAGTCCTTGGGAACAACAAAGCTCACAGGCGTCTAGGACAAGAGACAAGAAGGAACCTTGTGTAAACATGACTTCCAAACTGGCTGTTGCTCTCTTGGCAGCTTTCATGCTTTCTGCAGCTCTGTGTGAAGGTGAGTGAGCACATCTTTCCTATCCAGAGTTTTCCTTGGGTCTAAATGTGATCCTTAGATAACAAGATTATCTTAAATGCTTTGATTAAAAAAATAACATTTTTAATCAGGAAAAGAAAACAATTGTCATTTAATGTCAATTAAATTGAAGTTTCATATTTTTTAGGCTGTACTTTATATAACAATTAGAAAAGCATGACTTTTGATTAATATATGCATTTGTTCTTATCATTCATACTCTGTAGTATGCATATATTTAATATACATCTATAGTTTAGAGTGTATCTTATTGGGGGCCACAGTTACCCATAATATCTACCAATATTGAACAAGTCAGGTAATTTTATTCCATGTATTATTTTATTGACAAGCTTCAGACATCTACCAATTCCTGTTTGGTTTAAGGATACCCTGGCAAATTATAGACTTTCTTGGGATCCCTTTTATGAAACAAATACAGTTTAGAATGTTTATAGTATATAGTTTAACTTTTCTCTTGAGCATTAAGGGTTTTCTTAAGATAGAGGACATCTCTGTGCAACTCACTTATGTATTCCTATTAATTCTTTCTGAAGACAATCTTCCAATTGGTGAATCTTATATAGTTTGCATACTATAAATAGCATTGTCACATCACGGAGGATTATTCAATATTAAGTAGGAAAAAAGTATCATAGGGATATCAACATTGCACTAGCTCCAATTCTTTAGTAGAAAGTCATTCAATGTAGTCAGAGATGACTGTTTTTAAAACAAAGAAAAACTGCGGTCAGGCCCAATGAGAATATCCAGCCTTCAATTTCAAGAATGAGTTTGCTAAAGATGCGATGTTTACTAAACACAGTCACCAAGTTTTTGTATTAGGATTAAAGAGGAAGTAGTTAGCAGAGCTGTGCCGATTGATGAAATCAATCTTTGATTGTTTTTACTTTTGTTTTCCACAGCTGCAGTTTTGTCAAGGATAAGTGCAGAACTTCGATGCCAGTGCATCAATACGCACTCCGCATTCTTCCCTCCCAAATTTATAAAAGAACTGAGGCTGATTGAGAGTGGACCACACTGTCCCCAATCAGAAATCATGTAAGTACTATAAAATAGCTTACATTAGTAAACCGAGAGCTGAGGAAGGTGGCAGTATCCAATAAGTTTCTAGGTACTAGGAATAAAGCAGTGAGCTAAAAAAGGCGGCTGGGCTGGCTTTTGTCACTTTTTCACACCTTCCTGGGAAGCGCACTGCTGGTCCAGGTTCTTCTGCCATGCTTTAGGGCAGCGATTGCAACCTGTTTGAGACCAAAATTGTGGTGAGTTCTTTGCATGGTATTTAAATATGGTAACTTCCATGATTCATAGCCTGTACTTGAGGAACAATAACTTGAATGGCAAAGGGATGTCTGAAACCCCTCAATATTTTGATCATATCTGTCTCATTTCAGTGTAAAACTCTTCAATGGAAACTCGGTCTGCCTGGATCCCAAAGAAAAGTGGGTGCAGAAAGTTGTGCAGGCATTTTTGAAGAGGTAAGGTGGTTTTTATTTAAAAATTTTAGATTTTCATTTATCCTGAGATATACTGTCCAGAAGTCAGACTATAAGTTCCTTGTTGTTGCTGCTGAAAATCTTTTTTGGGTAACTGCCTCTTTAATTAAAAATAAATAGCAGCAATGGTGAATTTATTGTACTCATGACTGGGGAAACCACACATCTCATTTGTCCAGGGAACTCTGGGTTTATGCCTGTTCCCTGTGTCATTATTATGGTTCCTTTCCATTTTTAGAAGTGTGCTGGTTTGGATGATAACTTATTGAGTCTCTCTATTTATAGTTGAAAGTATAGAACATTTCTAACACATGACTATCTAAAGCTCTATTAGTTTCTGTATTAAAAATAAGAACCATATGTTACTCCTTATTAGAACATTGTTCATTTTTAAATTTTATTTTATTTTATTTATTTTCAGAGCTGAGAAGGAAAGTCAATGAAAGAAAAAAGCATTCTCCATGGTTTCCAAGAATTCCTCAGTGAAGATGCTAATGAAACTTCAAGCAAATCTACTTCAGTTCTTCATTGTGTGTGATCTGGTGCAGACAGTATTGTGTGTGTCTGGTGCAGAGTTGCCAGATAAAGTACAGGATGTCCAGTTCGATTTAAATATTAAGTAAAGCAATGAATAGTTTTTTCACTGTCTCATGCAATATCTAGGACACTTATATTTAAAAAAAATCTAGTTGTTTACTGTAAATTCAAATTTATCTGGAAATCCTGTATTTTCTATATATTTTGGTTAAATATTATAACACTGGTCTGCTAGCCAAGATCCATGAGTCCCTTTTAGCTGTGCCTTGTTATTTTTTTTAGGAGAAAAAGTGTCAGCTACCATCTTACCTCACAGAGATGTGAGGACATTTGGAAGCAATTTAACTTTTGTTCATGGTTATGTAGATTATTTTCAAGCATAACTTATTTACCTATTTATTATTTATGTATATTTAAGCAAATGGAGTTATATTTGTGCATGAATGTGGAAATTGGGGTAGTATAATGATGGTTGTAAATTTATATTTATTTTAGATATTAAAAGATAGAAAACTATCTTAATCAAAGTTTTATTTCTACCAAAATTGCTAGATTTAGCAAAATTAAAAACAAAGAGCCAGAATGTCCCATTATTTTTATTTAAGAAAAAACAATAAGGTTTTGTATAAGTGCCTCATTATTTATGTAAAATGGTAATTACACTGGCAGTCGTGGTTTGGACGCACCTCGCGTCTCCTCTGGTCGCTGCCGGCGTTATTAATGCTGCTCTTTGTTGAATCACCAGAATCCTGAGTTACAACTGTCTTTCTCAAAAGAGCAAAAATTCACCAGGCAATATTCACAAAGTAATTTCCTGCTGGTCAAAACTTATTTATTATGTACAAATACATTCTCATAATTTTATTGAAATAGTTATTTTTTAACATGTTTAGATACTTTTATGTATTTTCAAAGAAAGTTTTTCTACTGTTTTGTTGGTATGGAACTATAAGGGCAACTTTAAAACATTTATAATAAAATTTATTGTCAAAGTCATCAGGTGTTGGTGTTTCTTTGGTACTTTTAAAAAATACTGTTTTATATTTTTGGTTGTATTAAAAACATATGATTTAGAAAACATAAATGCTTTCCCTGAGTGTTCTGTATATTATGTTAAAAATGACAAACCTTTGTAGAAAAGTAGAACTTTCCAGAGATGGCTACAAACAGTAGTCTTTCCCGTAGAATAATGGAAATTCTCTCAACAACCCAATGTATATCATTTTGTTAATGAGGATGACTTCAGATTTTCAATGAACCAGCCCAGGTCTCGGTACAGGTTACTACAGCCCAGGTGTCAGTAATAGGGGGATGCAGGTACACACGATAAGGTGCTTCTTAGCTAATTAAGGAGTAAAACTGACACATTGGAGGTAAAGAAGTTGGAAATATGAATAAAAACCAAGCATATTTGAAAAAAATCAAACAAAACTCTTAAAAGTAAAAAATACAATAATTTAACTAGAAAACTCAGTGGATGAGTTTTATAACAGATTAGACACAGTGAAAAAGAAAATTGGAGATCTAGGGAATAAACTCAAATATCTTTATTTGGAATTTATGTGAGAGATAAGAGGTACTAAATTGAAAGAAGAAATGAAAAGACATGGAGAACACAGGGATAATGTTTTCTCAGGATCTAATTGGATTTTTACAAGTAGTAGAGAAGGCCAGAGACAACAGTTAAACTAACAAGGGCTGAAAACTTTCCAGAAATGCTGAAAAATAACAACCTACAGTTTCAAGAAATCCATTTAACCAATGCTTACATTTACATTCCTAGTGAAAAAAAAACAAGGATCTTAGAACTTTGATTCATACTTGTCCGCCTCCAAGAACAATTACTACTGCTGTTGGACTTCTTCAATCCACCCTTTTTTAAAGCTCCACAATGGGCAGTGAGGAAGAAGGTCCTCTTTCATTTTCTCACTAGTTAGTTCATACAGCAACCTACTTCTCCTATGTCACTTTGCTCTTTACAATCACTCTGTGTACCTGAAGCTGCCATCCTATGTGTCAACATTATCTGTGGTGCAGAATAAAGCCCATTCTTTTCTCTAAATTCCAGTGCACATTAATACAAAAGTACAAATCATAGAGTTAGTAAAAAATTTATGAGTGATACACAAGCAGGAAACATCTGGAAATTCGGCTCTAATATTTACTATCCTTAGATATTACTTTGTTCCCACTATTTCTCCCTCCCTATGTTCTTCTCAGGCCATGTTGTGGGGCTGCTGCTTCTTCCTCAGAGTTCTGCCTAAATTTCGTTTTCATACTCTCCTCTTTAATTTCAAGTTCCCTTGTCCTACTCCCCTTTGCAGTCTTTCATCTTGTGGATATTATACATAGGAGTAAAGCCAATTATAAACAAGTAATTTTAAGAAAATAGTTTTAAGAAAAGAATACAAACAATCTCTCAGACCAGCACCACCTCAGCAGGATTAATAAAATATTGGCAGGAGAGATACAGAAGAGATATCAAAGCGTTATCTAACTTAGCTAGCCAAGGTTTCCCTGAGAAACCTAAGCTAGAGTGTGGAGAAGGAGTAGGAGTTAGACACACGAAGGGAAGAAGAATGTGTGGGAAAGAGAGGCCTAGAAAGCAGAGGAGAAGCAGTTTTTCAGCAAGAGCATGACATGATTTGAGAAGTGAAAAAGTTCAGTGTGACTGTATTTGACACTGAAACAGAGCAAATACTAACAGATAAAGTTATGCTAAATGGACTATGGAATGCTCTAAAGGGCTTAGATTTGAAATTGAAAACTTCTAGTGGATTCCAATTACCTTCATTTTAAATTGTGAACATTATAGGCCATTCTTCTTCCTGGTTCTCCTTCCAGAGGAAGGGCGTAGCCATGAAAACAACTCAAAAGTCTGATCTTGGGGCTTTTGAATGATGTTTGGAAATCAAATTATCAAATAACTCCCAACTCTGTACAAAACCTATTAATGTGTTAAGTATGCTTCAATACAATCAGTGATCAATCTTGAGAGCAAAGTGAAGACATCCAAAAGGCAATTAAGAGGATCCAATGGAGATTAGGCATTATGTGCACAAGCCAAAATAGAAAAGTGAAGAGAGAGAGGATGTGAGAGCAAGAGTGAGAGAGAAGCAAAAGCCAGTCAATTTGCTGAATTGAAAATTTTTACATTTGCCTCAATGATATTAGTAAAATTAGTAGACAGACGCAGGTTTTATTTATATAGACACAGATTTAGACACAAACTTAAACATGCAATCTATCACCTCATAGTTTTAATCCATTTGTGTGGATTGCAAATTATGAAGCAAATTTTACCAAGTAATAACACGAATGTAAAGATACACACACAATAAAAGAGGTATGAAGAGATAATAAAAAATTCGTTCACCTTAAAATTCCATTAATTGTAAAATTCTATAATATATATATTTCATATACAATGTACAAGATCAAGTGTTTTCATAATTGCCTTTTTTTGTTTGCTAGAGATGCATCAAGAGATAGACTCATAGGTTGAAGTCATCTAAGAATAATTTTTCATTCTCAAAATTTTGGTAAATGTACTCATTTACTGTAATACATGTATTTTGCCATCCAGGCTATGTTTGGAAAAGTCAGAAGAAAAAAAATTAAAAACTAGTTTGTTTTTTGCTTGTGGTAGTGATATTGCAAACAAAAATTGCTTAAGACTATATTAATCTTGCAAAAATGACAAGGAAAAAAAAGGCTTAAGAAATCAGTAATCTCTCCATTATTCACTTGCAAGGACAGCCCAAATGTAACATCCTCAAGTTTGATAAACATCAGCTAAATTTGCAGAGAACACACAAAACAAATATGAAATTTTTAAATGTAAATTCCAGGCTGACTCTCTCCCACAAGATTTACAGATGAGGCCATCAGGAATTCTCTAAAAGATTACTAAAGTATCAAAGGACCCAACTCTAAATGATTGCAGACAGAGGCCTTTCCATGCTCTTTGCATTCCCATAGATGAAAATCAACTTGGATAAATAGCATGTATCATCTCTACCTAGATAGACTTAGAAAGCATAGCATGATGGAAAATTAAGACAGGAAACATCCACAGACATTTCCATTCAAAGTTTGCTTAGATGTATCTGGAGGAAAGTTCTCATAGCTTTGTAAAAGACCATGGTGCTGGATCTGAAGATAAACTTCTAATAAACCTAGCAATTCCATTTTATAAGGCATGATTTAGCTTGTTAACATGTGATTCTTTCCACTGTCTGCATCCTAAATTAATCTGCCATTCATCCCATGCTATTCAAAATGCATATTTATTTTTAAATATTTTTAAATATGCAATATTGATATTTATATTTTTAGTGTTCCCCTAAATGTTTATGTGAAAGTATTCTATATGAAGATACTTCTGCCTAGATTTGCTTTTTCTTTATGCTTCCAAAAGTAATCAACATGTTCCTTATAGGAATTCCATATAGAAATATGTTGTACTACAGGGACAGGTAGTTCCTGCAGGTCTCCAGCAGCGCCATAATGAGATATGGGCTGTCTCTCCACCAATTTTCCACACTTGTTTTAATCTTCTCTATTACATGCCAGACATATTTTATAAACAGATCATCCTCAAATTTTCTTGAGTGAAAATTGTTATTGCTAATTTCATTTACAAATACATATGTGTACTAAAAAAATCTCATATTTACATCTCTCTATAAAGCTTGAATGAGGCATCTGTGCTAACATGACAAGGATTGACTTGTACTTATAAGTCCCTTTTCTAGAAAATTCTGAAGGAATCTTTTCTCTCTCCCAGTTTACTAAAATACTGTTTCATTTTCTTTTTTTCAAAATGTAGATAAGGGTTAATATAATCTACTTAGAATTTAAAGTATACCTTCCACATGTAATGTTACATAGATTTATATAAGCTGTGTTTTTTAAAAATCTATCTTCTCCAATTATTTAAAAATCTGACAAGATTTTATAGTGAACAAATGTACATGAACTCTGATTTTAAAATACGGTATGCTCTGTACAGAATTTATTGGGAATAGAATAAATGTCATTTTTATACTTGCTTTTTATATCATACAGTACATTAGCTTTTACAGATTTAACTTTGAAATTATGACTCTTAAAAAATCTATGGCATGCAGGGAAGTTGACAATTCTGATACTGCTACACATGAAATTGAACAATTTAATTAAACAATTAAGCAAATGG